AGCAAACAATTTAAAATCGTTTAGATCATCTAATAATTTAGTTTGTTAAACTACTATTGTTGGAATGCTAGTTCTGTATTAAATGAGTGATTAATGATTTTCGACAGAAACGTACTTTTTACTATTAGCTCTCTTAAGCTTAATTAGCTTTCGATTATTAAATTCCACTTACACAGTCACTGATTACACTTTAATTTAGATTTTATTGTTAGTTATATATAAATCTCATTAGTTCTCTTTATTTTAAGGATCGTGTTAGTCTAGGCCGTCCTGTCTAACCTGTACATTTTGAGACCTTCCGTTAGCTTCGACTTTAATATTTTCTACTTTCTGCTAAAATCTGAAATTCTCGAGAAAACTTTAATTTATCTAAATTAGGATTGACTTGTTTTGTCTCACCTTTTGGAGAAAATTAAGTTCACTTGTTGAAAAGTTCGATTTCTTCGCAAGAAATTCCGGTTTTTTCTCGATCTAATATAATGTAAAGAGGGGACATTTGCAAAAAAGATTGAAAATAGTAATTTGCAAAATACCTTACGCGATTGTTTTTTACCTACTTAGTCTAATAAAATTGCCAGTGAAAACGTTATAAAAGAAAGAAATATATGTGCAAAACAACGACAGAAATAAACAGTTTAAAAACGTACACTTACTAAAGCTATTTTTAATGTCTTAGTAGCAAGTATCAAGGCACATTTATATAATTTCATAAACTGATGCGACAAATACAATTAACCCCAGGAAAATTGAAAACGATGCAGTTCTCTCCGAATAGGAGGCTCGAGAGTCACCTAGCCCATCTCCATAATTCAGTGTAAAATTATTGCAAAAATGGCTTCCATTGCAAGTTCGGCAAGTAAAGTTTCCTTCATACCAATTCAGTGGTGAAATAATAGTTTTTATCAATTCACAAAGGCTTGTGGTCACATTTGCGTTGAGCGTTCTGACTACGCAGGTACGCAGAGTGTGACTATCGTGAGCTAAACAAAAAAAAAACAGAATAATTCGATAATACAAAAAAATTGCATGCAAATTAAAAACATAAGAAATTTAAACTTGTCCAATTATTTTACTTAGTGAAAAGTCATGCAGGCTTATGCCAAATTTAAATTTGATAAAAACGTGTTTAATACTCACGTTCATGAACAGTAGCAGTTATGCAATGTCCTTCCTGCCATGTATTGAGCAAAGTAGCATTTTGTCCTCCTAGTTCTTTCAAAGAAACTGCGTTAATTGCTTGTTGAATTTTGAGCTCTATTGGATCGTCGTTTTCAAAATCCACCCTGTAATTGACAAAAATACATACTAAATATATTTTCTGAATAATCAACCATTTTAATTTGTTACAAGTTGACAATAAGTTTCCTTCTAACTTATGAGTTTGATTAATTTGTCCAGGTGCTAATAAAATATTAAATATTTTCCAAACATCCATCACTTTTTAAAACGGTAGCCGTTGTCAACAAAACTTTCATTACAGGCAATAAATGGATTATCTCATTATTATAATCTCTTCGGAATAAAATTGAAAGCTGATAGATTACTATAAAATATAAAATTATAACAATATCATAAAGTCCTATTAAAAATATTTTAATTGTTATTGGAAAAGTATTCCATCATTTAACTTATTTATTAATCATTTATTCTCAGACTCCAACCGAAAGATCTACATATATTACGCATTTAAACACTGTGTCTTCCAATTGTATTATTTAGAGTTTACATATTTTTGTGTAATTTTTATAACGTCCTATTATTAATACTATTAGTAAGAAATACCAACATGTAAAGCTCATTTACGTAGGAAACATTTTTTAAGCTGATATTTTTTTGCTTTGAAGCATTTTTATAATAAATTAGGGGTACAATACTTACTGAACATTGCACGTAGCTTGTCTAATACCAGTTGCATAATCTGGATGGGAGGCGTTATTGCAAAAACTGTTACCGTAGCATCTGGAGCAAGCCAATTGTGACAAAACTAGAAAAGTTTACAGTATTTTTGAGTTTCTGTTGCTGTTGATATGGTATGAATTTAAGTGCCAATCATTCAGAAATTTTTCAAATTATCAATTTTTCTACATACAACCAACTCCCAGTGTTTTTTATTTTTGTTTAATTTAAAATTAATTAAGTTTATGTTTTTTCAAGAGTAATCTGTCAGGAAATTAAAAATACTTTACATTATACCCGAAAAGTTGTTAATAAAATTGGAAGTATCCTAATTAACTATTTGAAGTTTTTGGGAGTTCAATATAACTTGGCCACAGTGATGCTTTAAGCAAGTCCAGGAAACGAAATATAATTAAACTGGACTCATGCCAAAATTAACAAAGTTTTCATTTATTCATTCTGTCATTTGCAGTCCCACTTAGTTCAGCCAGATGAAATATTATTCAAATTTATAAAATAGTGTGTTTATAAAGAAAAACCAGAAATAGCTTGCTTACCTAAAGATGGAAGGCATATTCCCATCAGCAAAACAACTAAAAAGCCTCTCATCTTGCAAGTTACTAAAACAACACAAGAGGAATAATTGGCTTGTGAGGAATGATCCTTATAAAATAAGATTAACCCATCTGATCTGCTCGTTATTCAGCAGAATTAAAAGACTTGAGAGATTAAGCTTAATATATTGGATATAAATTTTTGATCGAATGAATGAGCAATAATTCTGTTCCTTTTGTAAGTTTTATTTATCTGGCATCTTGGTCAGTGATGCATTACCAAATTAAACTCTTTACACTCCAAGCTTTATGTAGATCACATTTTACAGAGGGATATAGGAGAGTTCAATTGTTTATTAGTTATTTATCCTCCGGTAAACTATAATCTGATTCTAACTACTATTTTTATAATTATTTCCCTTTCCTTCCTCCTGTAGCACTCAACGTTAGATTTGGATTCATATGCTTTAAACTACTCCTCATTGATGAAAACCTTGTTGGTTCCATGTTATTTCCTGGAAAGAAATACGTTTCGGCATTATTGAAATTAATCTTAAACATCCCTCATGATTCAACTTAGTTCAGATGACCAGATTCAATTTAGTTCATCCAGGATTAACTGCTAATTTTTCAACTTTCTGATCAAGGTCACTTTAATAATGACGCTCTTAAATTTCCTGGCTCTGTTTCTGGGTTGATATTTGATGTTAACAAGCTTGTAATTTGAAGTGCAATTTCGTTTGGCTTCAAATAAAGACGGTCCTGCGTTTGATGCAGTTTTAATTAACAGAAGATTGTTAATTTCCGTTAGCAAACGTTAGGTATTGATTATGTATGGATCTAAAAATACGAATCAAATCGTCGAATAAATTGCAGTTCCATACGCCCGACGACCTAAACTCCATTTCCACGCTAAAAATACTCACAAGTGAAAATTAGTCAGAGTGAAAATTTCTTTTCGTAGGTATGCGAGCCAGTTGGTGTTTGAGTGGTCAATAAACGCGCTGTTTCATTTTTGCATTTTTTTTCTATTTAAATATTTGTGTTACGCTGGCAGGTCAGAAAAATTAATGTTTTTGTTGAAATGGCACGTGTTAATCAAAAAATATCGCCGATTTACTTCGTATCACAAATTTAGAAAGTAAACTACAGCATTATAATGGCTATTTTCGTTTTAGAGAACAGTGATCTTTTAAAAGGAGTCATGAAAGCCTTTAGGTATTTTTTTAAATCATTTTTCAGTCACGAAATATTAAAGCTTGGAAACGGTTAAAGAAGCACTTAGATTTTATGCTGGTTGCTATTTGAACAGCAAGCTATTATTTGCCGGAAACAAAGCAGAGTTTCCGTTTATTATCAACTATATTAATACAAAAGAAACTTTTAATTTTTTAAGTGTGTTTCCTATTCTTTCTTCTTCAGCTTCCCTTTAGCCAATATGACCAATTTTGTAACGACTTTTTTATTTTGAATCATATGCTTTAATACTCTTATCGATTTAGGCATTATTTTTTTGAAATTAACCGTTAACTCGTTTTTCTATCAATCTTATTGCCATGAAGAAAAAATATATTTATCATTTTAAATTCATATATTGTTCTTAATCTTTTCGTGTTAGCTTTAACAAGTAATCTTTATTGACATTTTGTCTTCATAATTGAGACATGTTTTAGACCCTTTCATTGATAATTTATTGACAATTTTTAAAGCGCAACTTTTCTTATTATTTCCTTATCCTACATACAAACTAATTTTTTGGCTTTAGGCTACATATAATTTTAATTTGAAATTTCTCTGGTGCAATCATATTTAAGCAAGAAATCACAGAACATTCTTATACAGTTTTACGTACAAACTACACAGTATTTTAAAGCCGAGATTTGATTAAGAACTAAATGTAATTTTTTTCGGTATATTGAAATGCTTCATCAATCTGCTGGAACGATGGCAGAAACGCTTTCAACTCACGATTAATTCACTTCAAAACTCGGCCAGTTTATTATAAAATATTCGAAAATTTAACTGAAGCCTGAATGCCTGAGTAAATATCCCGAAATAAATCCGTTTGAAAGTCCCGATTAAGCTTCGGTACCTGAACCAGCTTGCCACTTCAAATATAAGTTTTTAACAAAATGCGAAAGTAAAGTAAAATAAACATTAAAGTAACCAACACAGTTTTAACTTCGAAGTTTACTGATAGTTCAACAGCAGTGTGCGTTCCTGAAGGTTTTATGGTGAAGCCAATAAACGAGCGATGTTATTAGAATGAACGTTGTTTGGTTTCGGCTTTTGTTCGTGATAATTTGTGTTCAATATTGTAAGTATATTTACTTTCATTTTGTGCCATTTAGATAATATGTACGTTGATATTTATTGAAAATAGTTCCGTAATTCAACTCTTAGCTATTTGAATTTAATCACATCATCCATTACCTGTTTACTTTGGCAAGCTTAGCGTAATGCTATCTAGACAGAAAAAGCTCAAAAGTCGATTGATATTATGTATTTTAGAATACATATTTTTCGGATGAAATATTATATTACATAGTAGGTGACACGAATCTGTTTTGCGTCTAAAGTATTTGAATCTGAATTAAAAAACGAAGGTGAAAAACGTCTAAAATTGAATTTTTGAATCTCCGTTCTTTGCATATAAATTTGGTTTTTGCTATAAAATTATCAATACTGTGTGCAAGATGCGCATTAAGAATCATTTAAAGTTTCTATTTTAAAAACTGCACTGGCCCCATAATAGGCAATTTTGCATTTGTTGTAGGTTCAGGATTTCGTTGTTACCACTGTCACCAAACTTCGAAAAAATGCAACAATGGAGATTTGGACGAAATCCATCAGAAAAACTGCTCACAACGCAAATGTACTGTTATGAAATATGAAAGTAGGTGAATGAAACATAAAATTTAAGTATGCATAAGTTGCTACTCAGAAACAATAAATTTCTTGAAACTTAGCTGAAAACTTTATTAAGTCCGGCCGTAGAAATACCAAGAAAAAACATTGATTCTGTCTGTAAATTAAAAAGCTATTTTTACCGCTTAAATTGACGCAATAGCTTGCTAATAAATTTTTGGTAATAAAACGTCGAATAGACTGCGAAAAATTAAGCCATTGCAAATTTTCATTGCACTACATTGCCAATAAAATATATTTGATGTTCAGAATATGTTCTACATGTATAACTGCCAATTACTCAACTCTTATTCACGCACACATGCCAAGTCTCCCAATATATTTAATATTGGGAGACTGATAGTGATCACAAGCGGAAACTTATGTGTGATAGTTATAGTTAGTGATATTGGCAATAGATCAAAAAAATCAGACAAATGATCAATTGGAAACTTCAGTTGTTACAGTAATTTGATGATTTTTTTATCTTGTCTGTTGTGTGTAATATTTTTATTATTGAAATTTTGAACACGTAGAAAATGCTGTAATAAAGACCCATATTGAGCATTCCTTTTTCAATTTTGCCTTATTTTATTTAGCTCCTGTTCCAGGCAGAAAAGTCCTGGCCACTATTAGGGACTGTGCGTCCTCCACTGAACATGATCTGCTTCGAATGGTTTCGGTCGAACTAAAAACGCCCGCAAAAGTACTTGTATTTGAAGAGTGCGGAACTTCACTATGCAACATGGGCACCAAACACTATTTATTTAGTTTCACATTGTTTCTAGTACTTTTACTGTTCTTAATTAGCTAACATTTTCCAGGAGACTGAGATATAGCACGAATGTAAATTGATATTTTATACGTTTGTTAGAAAATTAAACTGGATTGGCCAGCAGCGTCGATTAAACACTAAATGGAGAAAGTTTGTAGTTTTAATAAAAATGGTTTAAATAAAGCAAATGCTTATTCCAACAGCAGAGGAACTAATCAAAAGTATAAATTTTTTGGTACTTCATTAAAGTGATCTCTTCTTCAGTTTTTCATTAGTTAGTTTTCTTAGAGAAAATGGCCGTTTTTAACCAGGTACTCTTTATTTTCAGCTGAGCTATGTTTAAAGAAACAACTGGTTTACAAATATGAATCTAACGGGAAAAATAGTCGGGGGTTGAAAATTTGAAAAAAAAGAGAAAAAGAAAGAAGAGTGCAAACAAATTTGCTAAACCTTCAAAATTCTTCAATTATTTTAAACGAAAAATTAAACTTTTTGGGATTTTAGACTCTCAAGTAAATGTAAATTAATTTTTATCTTTTATAAATTATAAATTCTAATGTAAATGTTCTTTATGCGTTTGTTGCTCTGAAATAATTTTGATCATATACACTTAATATTATTTATTCTTCTTGTTTTATTGTATTTTTTCATTCGGTTCTTACCAGATTTTTATGTAATCTGCTTAACAAAATGAACGTTGCACAGCCAAATTTGCAATAACTTTGGAACTGGATAAATTCTGATTGCGGCAAGCCAATTGGTTTCTGTTCGAATCATTGTTGTGCCCCATTTGCTTGTTTGCTAGTGAGTGTCTTAATAAAAGTTAAGAATTTCAGATACATTTTGTACAGGGCCGCAAATTAAAAAATCTAACATTTTGTAAAATTCGGCATGCTCCTAGTAAGAAAAAAAGGTGCTAAATTTTTAGGCCGTTTTTTTTTGCTTACAGGATGGTCTTAATAAATCAACTTTTTGGTCTTGTGCAGCGATAACTTTTCTGCTCCTAAGCCAATTTTCACGATCTTGAGCTCATGTCGAAGCTAAAATGGACATTTTAAAACGAAAATTCGATATCCAGGGTTTCATAAAAGTTACCAAATTCAGAATTTTCTCCGAAATCTGTGATTCTGAAAGATTTTCACCTAAGTAAAGTTCACTAGTATTTTGTTCATTCATGGAACCCGGTATATTGACTTTTTTCTGAAGTCGACTGCGAATTTTTAGCTTCGACATAAGCTTTACATTTTGCTAATCGGTTCAAAAGAAAAAATGTATCATTGCAATACCCAAAAGTTGATTTTTTAAGACCACTGTAAATAAAGGAGATGGGCGAAGAATTAAAAAACTTTTTTTGAGGTACGAGGTACGAGATCTATCTTAGTGCCTGTAGTTCTGAAATATTAAAAAATTGTACTTGTGCATTGTTTCATTTGCCACCCTGTAGAAAATGTATTTAAAGCATTAATTTTTTGGAAAAACACGCACCAACCGAAAACGAGTTGCTCTAAATAAGACTTCAAACAGAAATAGAATCGACGGCAGGGATCAAAATGTATCCAGTTCCAAAGTTGGTGCAAATTTGTCAGTTTTACGTTTTGTTGAGCAGTTAGTTTATATTTCCAACCGATTTAAGTTAGTGGTCAATTCATGCGGCACATCATAAAGATGATCTTTCGATTATCTTTAGATATAATCTTTATGTTGTGCATGCGGCTTGATCAATCCTTTTATGTTGTTAAAATTACAGGAAAGATTGTTTTATTAGTATTATTGTAGATCCATATGAAAAATAAAAATAATACCCAATTACCCAAGACAAAGTAGGATTTAATTGCAAACTTTCTGAGTAAATTTAAAATCGTACTGAAACCTAGGGAAAATTAAAGTAAAAAACAATTCATAATATACATGAAGCCAATAAAACTGACAAGATAGTCTTATAGATAATGGAGCATTATCGACACACATTGATTTATATCGTTCAGTAACAATTACTTGTATTAGACTGATGATCCAATTCGAGTTAATTCTTTTATTTCCTGTTTGACTGACATATTGTAAATAATATCTACATAATGAAAATTAGAATGTCTTGACACTATTCGTCGGCATTCAGATATTATCGCTTGGAATTGATAAAATTAACAAGTGAAATGCGGATATATTTTAACATGATTTGTCACCATATTTTTTTTTCAATACATAAACTGTTTACGTACTTATCATGAAAGTTACAACTGAAACCAATGCTAGTAAACTATGCATTGGCTGCAAGTTTTCACCTCCAGCTATTTGTCCATTTGGATGAAATCTATGCGAATTGCATGCGTGGTCTTCACAGGTCACGCACGAAATAAGAGAAATATTAGCTGGTGCAACTTGTTCTCTGTAAAATACGCAAAAATCCGGAATAGAAGAATGCGTTTCCGCACAACCTCTATAAACTCCGGTGCTTGGGTTTCTGCTTCTGTCCCAGCCGATGTCCGGTAGCTGGGCATCTATAATACAAATTACATGAAAAATCGTATATCGAAGTATCTAGAAACTAATTTTAAACTTCTAGTTTATGTTGAAATATCTGGATATCATTCAATTCCTCAATATTTTCACCGTTGATTTGTTTATTACTTTTGCATCAATAAATTATTTGATGTCCAAAGTAAATATTCCAGTTCATCACGAAATGTTGGATGTATGTGTTGTTTCGGAAAATTAATGGTTTCAAAGAGAACTAAAATGTACTTACTGTCGAAATCCAGAAAAGCAGCAAAACAATCTACGGACACTTCATGACCGTCCCAATTTGGGCAACTAGTTAGTGTATCACTGTTTACTTCATTGCAATTAGTACCATCGGTAAGAGGTGAACATGTATGGCAAAATAGCAAATTAGAACCTTGTGCAGCAACTGAAAATCACATTTATCAGTACAGCATTAAATATTTGCAGACGTTAGGACATATGATCAGCCACAAGAATATTCCCAGATTCAACTGCAAATTTCATGTCTTAATAAAATTAACTGAAAAAATACCAACATTTATTCCTAGAATATAGGAACTGCCAATTCATCACGAAACACTTTAGAATTGAAAATATTTATTTGTATTTACAGATACATTTTTCTGTTCTGATGATGCAATGTTGTTGGTTGTTTTTCAGCTAGAAATTAAAGCCGTTTTGAAGAAACGGATGTATGAAAAGCATGCATTTGGAAACAAAACAAAAACAAAAAAGCGGTTTATTTGTTACGGAAGTCAAAACATTTATGCTAGAATGTTGATGTTGATGCTAGAAGAGTTGATTTGCAATAAATCAACGTAAAATTAGGGGAATTAAGCTACCTATTGTTTTAATTTTTTATTGTCAACAATAAAATATTAAATTGACCAACAGCAAGCATACAAATAATGACGTCAGGGGTACTAAATAACTGAACTGCAGTGACCGAAATATATAAACAGTTTGTGTTTACGTGCATTTAAACAATTTATAGTTTGTTTTATTTGAGTTTAATGAGTTATATGAAAGCTTTATTTCCTAAGAAATTTCTTACGTTTAAAGCTGCCTTTTTACAATTCATGTTTGTTAATGACTCTCTAGAATTAAAGAATTAAATAGATAATAAAAATTATGCGAAAATATACTTACTTCCACTTATCGATGATACAAAAATTGAAACCACAAAATAAAAAACCGCAGAAAATGTCATAGTGTAGTTTTCTCAATGAAAACTGATAGAAAAAGAAATGTTTTCAAATATATTCCAATTTATATCCATGAGTTCTGACTTTTCAAGTGGTTATTATCATTTACAAGCCATCAAATTAAAATTTTTCATTTCCATACAAATGGTTGTAATTCATGTGGATTAAAGGCAAGATTAATGTTGGTCAAGGAGGCAGTACGTGGGAACTAGCAAGGGGTATTTTTATTGATTAGCGCTTACCGACGAGATTAAATAAGTTTTACAAACAGAACTTTTAGTTATGTGGCTTATTCTCACATGTGATAGATCAGTATCATTTCTAACAAATAAATTATAGGATAATGTTGGGAGTGGATGGCAGTATATCCTCACCTTTCAAAAAAAATTTTAAATTCATAACTCTTTTATTTCCTCTGGTTATTGTTATTACATTACTTCTGTATTTACATCTTTAATTTCACAGTCCTTAACATGCAAATCTGCCTGACTCTGTACATGCAGATAAACTAACACAACAACTTAAAAATAGTTTGGTAGTAGTAAAATCATTAAACCAAAGTGCAAATAGCTTATGGCAGCTGTAGAACTTATTGGTCCGTCCTCACCGCTGCTATTTTCAATAATATTTCCAGCTGGAAATTGAATAAAAAGTATTCCAAATTAAGATAATGGTTCCTAAGTATTTTCTTTGAATTTAAACTTACCATCATCAAAAGAATGTGTGTTGCATGCATCAGTTTCACAAGCTGCACATGATACCTGAGTCATTCCGCGAACTGGCCTATCACAAAATGAATGTATTCTACGATGTGATGAACAACCTCTGTAAATTCCTGTGAGATTCGACAGACTGACATCTAAAAAAATATATTTAAACAAACATTAATTGAAATGAGTTAATCAAGTATCTGATGATTAAAAATTAAATAAACCAAACTGTAGTAACTGGTATAGAATTTCTGCTTCATTTTACTTGTTATCGTTTTAAATCGATATTTACGGTCCTTACATTCTTCTTCGAAAATCCAAAAACAAAATAAACTCTTCTTGTCTGTTCTTAATAAACTCTAAAATCACTTGAAGTAAAAAACTTTAAAAGTATGTTTTCCCAAAATCGCCAAAGGCGTATAAATAATAAATACTAAATTCTCCAACATAGTAGTTTTATTATCTACTATTTACTAGAATGTGTCATTAGTTTTAACTATTAGGTATTTAACTTTTAAACGTAAAAACATTTTTTGGTGATTAATGTACATGCAAATATGGCCAAATTTAATTAAAAACTTCTGAAGACCTTCAAACCATTGCACACTTTCAAGTTTTGCTTGTGAAAAGACGAACTTTTATGGGTCAGATAGGTAAAGATAAATCGTACTGTTACTAAAGCGAAAGCTGGAGAAACAGCTTATTGTCCAATTTGAAATATCATCGCCAGCTAGCTGCAAGGAACAGTTTGTTCGTCCCATACTTTCTTCCGGATTTGAACAACTCTCCGCTTGAAACTCAGGATTACACCAATAGCACAGTACCGAAATGGTCGGGAATTGAGCTAAAACTAAAATCCATTTTGATATTTTTGGTCAATTCGATTTCCGGCAGGTTTTTGCTCTTACCTAAAGTAAAACATCCCAAAAATACGAAAGTTATCACCGAACTGTGCATCGTTGCTTTATCCGTAWCAATGAARCGAACTGAATATAAATCTACAGCGAACTGAGTAYAACYGACAAATATTCARGAACTAAGRGTTAAACGAATTTYCRACTATTAGGARAAAACGAGATTAGATTGATAAAGAAAATTGAATTGATCAATATTTTCATAGTAATTTRTYAATCATGAAAATTATCATYAATCATTAATTGCATTGAACTATTAGACATGTATTTAGTTGCARAAACAAATCTAGATTTTGATTTTAAAGTTCAAAGAAGAAATKACAGATTCAAAATGAATGTYGAAATCTTTCTATTTAAGCGCCTAATTAAATAATATTACACAATAATTTAAATTATTTATMGATATCGGTTTGAATAATGCATTCTTCATTTTYAGTTCCCATATTTAGTCTTTTTGTTCAAGAGTCTTTCTTTTTGTTCAAGAGTTTTACTACGTAATTAAATTTCCTATGTAGTCTTCAAAAAGCGACATTTTTTTCTAGAAATATCGAATGATTATACAAAGTAATGTACATAAGTGTGAAAAAACACGTAACAGTGCTGACAARCAAACACTATGGGTTGTTTGCAATGTGCAAAAAGCAGAATCAATAAATAAACAACCATAATTTAAGTCTATATCAATCTATTATCAAACCACCAGACATAAACTACAGAATAAATTACTGTAGTGTTACAGATTATGATCCAATAAAAAAGTATTTTTAGGTTTTAATTTGCTAAAGATCTCCTATTTATCATTAAGAGCCAAAAGCAAATGTCAGAATCTACAAGCAAAGTAGCCAAAACAATTCGGAAAAAACTATGATTGAAAAAAAAGGTCAAGTTGATCAGCATTGATAGTTGTTGATTCATTCTGTATTTCTTTACGTTCGAATGTAATGATTATTTCTAGTTCATAATAAGTTGTGGTTTTAGTTCACTTTCAAGTTCTTCAGATTCCCCCCAAAAATCAATTTTTGCTTGTTTCAGATTCCTTGGGGCTGCGATAAGATCTTCTGCAAAAGATCTGTCAAAATTAAATTAGCATGTTTAAATAAAAGTTAATAGTTCGTAAAGTATTTAAACGATACAAGTTTATGCTTCATTCCAATTAAGCAAGTCTTGAATTTAAAACTCAAACCATCACTTCAAAGTTACCGGAAATTTTTGGTTTGGCATTGGTATCTTAATCAGTCAACAATAAATAATAAATAATCAAATTAACGTAATAATATTTGGTTTCTTAATCACTGCGAAGGGACAATTTTTTTGATTTTATTGAAAATAAAATTGCTTTAAAAAACAATCTTCTTCAGACACTTTCTAAATATTCTTTATTCGTTAGACCATTCTTGGTGGTTTAGTGGTTAAATTGATAAAACATATAAGCAAAATCAATTTTTGAAAATATTTAGTTATGCCGAATAAATAGCTTTCACCGGTTTCGTAATCGCTTTCAGGTAATTCTTCCAGTGGTTCTTCTGAAATATGCTCTTGGCTTTCCAGACTGCTCCCATCATCGTTATTATCATCAATCTCTTCCTGCGTATCATCGGTTATTAAGTTTCCGGCTAAAATAGCACAGAAAGTAAATATTATTATAACAAATAATAGTAAAAATTATTTAAAGAAATGAAGAAAATGTATAATGGTATGTATTATTTCTTTGCTACGTAACTTACTAAAGTTACTAGTTCTCGATTAAACCTGTAAATATTGCATGATTTAACTTAGAAGTTACTGAAGTTTATTGTTGCTTACCATCATCGAACCATTGATTATTACATAGAGTACTATTACAAGCTACACAAGCTACTCGCGTTATGTCCTGTCCAGGATTTTGATCGCAATATGGATTTGCTATAAGATGTGCTTTGCAACCTTTGTATGAACCTGTTAAGTTAGTTTGTTCAGAATCCTGGTTAGTATCTGGAAATTATATTAGGGACTTATTAATATTCATCAAAACATTTTTAATTGTTGAAATTGAAAATGCTCAATTAATTATTTGCAAGAATTATTGATCTTCATTATCAATCCATATCAAACCACACAAGTTTTGATGTTCCACCTTATCAGTTCGAAAACATGACAAACATTTTAATTGCAGTATAATAAATGGTTATATCTAAACCTACCATTATAAATAACAAATGTAGAAAAACAGCTTATTGTCCAATCCGAAATATTTCCATTAAACAGTTGCAAGGAACACCTAATTTCGGCCACGTTATTCCCAGAACTGTAACATAAGTT